AAGAATGCCCCTGCAGCTTCCTGGGGAAGTCAGTGTTGGGTTTCCATGACACTCTCTACTGCAGGACCCCTCCCCAGGCTCCACCACACAGCTCCGTCACACAGCTTCCCTTCTTTTTTCTTTTTTTGAGACAGAGTTTCGCCCTTGTTGCCCAGGCTGGCGTGCAATGGCGCGATATCGGCTCACCGCAACCTCCGCCTCCTGGGTTCAAGTGATTCTCTTGCCTCAGCCCCCCAAGTAGCTGGGACTACAGGCTGTGCCACCATGCCCAGCTAATTTTTAAAATATTTTTAGTAGAGACAAGAGTTTCTCCATGGTGGTCAGGCTGGTCTTGAACTCCCAATCTCAGGTGATCTGTCTGCCTTGGCCTCCCAAAGTGCTGGGATTACGGGCGTGAGCCACAGTGTCCAGCTCCACTTCTGTTTTTTGTCCTCCAGAATGAGGGGATTCCCTCTTTGACCCTCATTCGGCCTTGCTGGCCTTCATACCTCATTCTTTGTCATTCAGTAGCTCCCTATGTCCCCCTGCCCCACCTATGCACCCATCAGGGACTCCATCAGACAAGACCTTCCAGTACGGTACCCTCTCCTCCTACTCAGGGGGGATTTGGGGGTTTCCTGTTGTTTCTTGAGCTCGCCCCTTGGGATTTTATGCCCCACCCTGAAATCTTCTGCCCAGTTCTTACATCAACTTGCATCAGCTGATGGATATTTGCTAATTGTTCCTCCTTTGTAAACATGGACCGATACTGCATGGGCTGTTTTGTAATCTGCTTTAGAAAACGACATATCAGAAGCAGTTTTGAAGAGAACGTGTCCCACCACCAGCTCTGTTTCAAGATAGGCAGGGCTGTCTCGGGAGGTAGTGAGCTCCCATTTGCTGTGGGCAGTCAAGCAGGAGCTGTGGGACTATTGCTGGGGAAATTGGAGGGTGGGCAAGAAGCCCCCCAAATGCCCTTGCTCTGTGATGTCTACGGGGCAATGAGAAAGGCAGTACCTGGACTATTCTGGACTGGCTGGCGAAGAACCCTAACCAGAAGGAGAGGTCTGAGCAGGAACAGCTGGATGCTGCTTCTGGAGAGACTGGTGGCTCCTGGCTGGCATTGTCCCAGGCCTGCGGGAGAGTCAGAAGGATGCTGAGCAAAGCACAGCCTGACCTGCGCCTTCTTCCAGGTCTACATGTTCAAGTGCGTGTGGCGGTGCTACAGATTCATCAAGTGCCTGAACTCGGCTGAGGAGAGGGGCAACTCCAAGATGCTCCGGAAGGTGAGTGTGGCTGCGGGTGGATCCCGGCCCTGCCGTTCACTCCCTGTGCCATTTGGGTCAAATCTCTTTCCCTCCCTGGGCCTCGGTTTCTCTATTTGTAAGATGAGGGTTGGATCAGAAGAAATGTGACCTCTTTCAGTTCTGATAGTTTAAGATTCTATTCACTCACTCACTCATTCATTTATTCATTATTTACTGCTTCTCACTCTTGGCTAGTCTTATATCTATTCCAGGGCGTGCAGAGAAAACTAAGATGCCACCTCTACCTTAGAGGAGTATATAGTCCAGGGTGAATTCAGACACATAGATACAATTACAACTTGGTGCGAAGCACAGGGATAATAAGCACTGGCTTCTTCTTGGGCATCAGGGAAGGCTTCCTGGAGGAGATGACAGTTGATTGGTCTTGGAGGGTCAATGGATATGAGATAGCTGGGAAAGAAGGGGCTTTCCAAGAAGAGAGGATGGGGTGTACTTGGAAGCTGCTTATTGGAAAGTGATGGTTTAAATTTCTGGTAACTTACTTTCGTCACCTGTAAGGTGGAGGTTGCATTAGTTAAGACACTTTTGGTTGCAAGTGGCAGAAACCCAACTCAATCTGACTTAAGTAACAGAAGGAATTTACTAGCTCACAGAACTTAGCAGTCACACGTAGGTCTGGCTTGGGCCTGGCGGAGTCCTGACATCAGGACATGATCTCATCCTCTCTATCTCTTGACTCTACTTTCCTAGATGTTGGCTTCATTTTCAGGAAGCCCGTCCCTCGTGGTGGCAAAATGGCTGCCAAAACCCCTAGGCTAACATCCCATCCTCTCAGTAATCCCAGCGGAAAGAGAAGGTCCCAGAAGTATGTCTGATTGGACCAACTTGGGCCATAGGCCTGTGCTCAAACCAAAGACTATAGCCAGGGTGATAGAATTCTAACTTGAGTGGCCAAGTCCGGCCACCCTACTGGATCTGAGGGATGGGGCCAGTTCTTCTGAAGGTATATGGACTGTAAATGTTTTCCCAAGGAAAATGGCGCACTGCTTTCAAAATAAGGGGGTCTTCATGCTGAACAGGCAAGTGTGTCCACCACTGGGAAGTGTACCTAACTCATGCGGGCAATGTGTAGCACATAGTAGGTATCCAAGACCCATCCTCATCCTCATCATCATCATCATTTTGCCAGAGGTGGGAGTTTGGGTCCCATGATCCCAGGCTGGAATTGCGGGTTGTTCTTGACCATACTCAGCCCTCATCTCTCTGTCTCTCCCAGGTGGTCCTGCCGTCCTACGAGGAAGCCCTGTCTTTGCCATCGAAGGCTCCAGAGGGGGGCCCAGCACCACCCCCATACTCAGAGGTGTGACCCTCACCAGGCCCCAGCCCCAGTGCTGGGAGGGGCGGAGCTGCCTCATAATCCGCTTCTTTGCTTTGGTGGCCCCTGTGGCCTGGGTGGACCCTCCCGCCACGCCCTGGCTGACTCCAGGACAATCTGCTTGTGTCTCCCTTGCTGGCCTGCTCCTTCTGCAGGGCCTATGGGCTGCTCACAATTGGGTCAACGCTATAGGCTGAATCACTCCTCTGATCTCTCAAAAATTCAGCCCCCAACAATGCTTGGTTTATTTCCATCGGCTCTGACACTTGTTTAGATGATTGGTCACTCTAAAGTTGGTGAGTTTGTTAAGTAACTATGAACTTGATCAGACCAGGCAAGCAACTGACACATCAAAAACCTACTTGTCAGTTCAGTAAAACAATTTGGTCAAACAACAGTTTATTGCATTGATTTATAAATAGCTGCCAGTTCAATAGCAATTTAATCAAGTAATCATCAGTTAGCCGGCCCCCATACATAAATATATATGTAATCAATTTCTTCAAGTAGCTTGCTTAAATGATAATCAATTAGCCAAGCATGAGTCGTTTAGAATACCGATAAATAGAATACATAGACTAGTGATAAAATTCAATTTTAAAAATCAAGTTAGCCTCTAAACCATTTAATTCAAATGAACCCATCAACTGGCTGCCACCTCTGTCCAATGTAGGACCTCTGAGTGGCTGTATAATCGTTAATTCAAATGAAATTCATTTAAACAGTTGACAACCTGTCATTCAAGGTTAGCTCCAGGAAATAACAGTTGTTTCAATCATAAAGCAGCCCCTTCAAATGCGCGATTCTTCGGCTGACGAGCTGTCATTAACAGTCCGGTGCTCGCCCATTCAGTCCCTCTGTGGTAGTGCAGCTGCAGAGCAGTGGATTCCATGGAAGGGGTCAGCTCAGTCACAGTCATTTCAGTAAGGAGCTGCCGTCCATTCCCAGGCCAGGCCATCACCGGCCGTCCATTCACTGGATTCAGTCATAGGCGAGTCAGTTCTGCCCGAGGCTTGTGGTCAAGCAGAAATTCAGCCCTGAAACCAGGCACATCCTTTCACTGAACTAAACCCACAGGTTAGTTCAGTCAAAGCAGGCAACCCCCTTGTGGGCACAGACCCTGCCACTCGGGTCACGGCGGTGGTGGCAGCTGGGGAGGTTTGGCCCCAATGGCCCTCCTGTGCCTGCTTCCCTGTGTGCCGGGGGGAGCTGACCTGAGGTGGAGACCACGGAGGCAGGGTCTCTGGAGTCTGTGGGCGGGGGCGGAGCACAGAGGGAGCAGCCTCTGCAAGAGCTCCCCAGCAACACCCCCTTGTGTAATTGCTTTGTGTGCGACAGGGAGGAAGTTTCAATAAAGCAGCAACAAACTTCTCTCTGGCTCGTGTGCTTCCGGAAATACAATGTAGGGAGGGTGGAGACCTGCCTTCTACCTCCACCACTCCCAGGACTCACCCATACCCTACACCCACATACCATCCCTACACTCACGCCCCCAACACCCACACGCACCAACACACACATGCAAATCTCCCATACCCACATACCATCCCCACACTCACACCCCAACACCCACACCCACGAACACACACACAACACCCCATACCCACATACCATCCCCACACTCACACTCCAACACCCACACCCACGAACACACACACACAACACCCCATACCCACATACCATCCCCACACTCACACCCCAACACCCACACCCACCAACACACACACACAACACCCCATACCCGCATACCATTCCCACACTCATGCCCCCAACACCCACAGCCACCAACACACACACAACACCCCATACCCACATACCATTCCCACATTCACGTCCCCAACACCCACACCCGCCAACATACACACCCACAGCCCCTATACACTCACCTGTACCCACCCTCTCACCCTCACATCTACACCCACATACACACCCCTGCACTCACACCCCTACATGCCCTCACCCCTCGCTTCCACCCCCTCACACATCCACACGCCTGCACCCTCACACCACATACACATCGTATACATATCCTCACCCCCACACCCCCCCACAGATCTACACCCACACACCCATATGCACACATCGACACATATTTGCGTCCCCACACATCCCCCACACCCACACACACATCCACATACACAAGCACATATACATCAACACCCGCACATACCCACACACATTCACATCCACACACACCCACATACCCCCATCCCCTACCCTCTCACACCCCACACCCATATACTCCCCACACCCACACACACATCACACCCGCACACTCAAATTGACACGCACTCACATCTACACACACACACTCACACTCCCATCCCCCCACAAACACATCTACAAACACACCTATGCACACACCCCCATCCCCCGCACCCACCCCCCACACCCACATAAACACTCACACCCACACCCACTTACCTGGTTGTTCAGTCCAGAAACTCCTCCCATGGGCCATGCTGAGTGCGGGTGGTCATGACCCGATACCATTTCTGATCATGAATCACAGCCCTTGATGAAGCACCCTGATGTCTCCCACATCGGGCATGTGCTCCGCTCCCCGGGCCCAGGTCCTGCTCTGGACACTGGGGTGACCTCAGCAGGTCAGGCTCATCTCCAGTTCCCCCCAGTCTGGTGTAGGAGGGACAGATCCGCAAAAGGGCTGCCACCATAGAGAAAGCCTGGGGGACCTCTGGCTTGAGTTCCAGAGAAGGCCTCTTGGAGGGTGTCACCAAGTGGCCTGAAGGATGAGAAGGCAGCAGGAAGCAGAGTGGGAAGGGTGCTCTAGGCCTAGGCAGAAGGACATGCAAGGACTCTGTGGCATGGGGAACAGAAGCTGGGGCCAGCAGCTCGGTGTGGCTGCATGTGGGGAGGGGAGGGAGAGGAGGACAGCCAGCTGTTGGGGCCTGGGTCAGGAAGAACGTTTGCACACAGTAGGGCTGTTTGGCTGCAAGCTCACCTGGCTAAGTTCAGCCAAGAAGGGAATTTACAGGAAGGACATGGTTGCAACTAACAGAAGCCTTATGAGCCAACTTTATTATGAAAAACATAAAGGTGGTTCACGGTGTTTCTTGGCTCTCATATAAATAAAAAAATCCAGGGATTTTGGGCTTCAGGTATGGCAGGATCCAGGACTCCAATTCTTTAATAATGTCTCTTTCTCTTTCTTTCTCCATCCCTTATCTTTTTTCCCCTGGTATGGCAAAGTGGTTGAGGGCTTTCCTGAGAGTAAAGTTAATAAAGAGACCAGGGCTGTTTGAATTGGGATCTTTCACCACTACCAAAGAGACCTCATAGAGCCTTGAATGTCATGCCAAGGAACATGGACTAATCCTGAGACAGGCACTTTGAAGGATTTTGGGCCAAGGAGTTATGAGGCTTGGGTTTGAGGAAGGAAAAGCCCAAAGGCAGGGTCCCCTAAAAAGGCTTGGGGAAGTTGTCCTGTGGGGAGGCAGGGACGGGGATAAGTTTGAGTGGCATTGTCAACCTTCTGGTGGCATCAGCTTTTCTTGGAAATGGCAGGTTTCTTCATGGATATTACCTGCTCATTATCAGATCCACAAGCAATCGGTGCAGCGTGACTCGCAGAAATGGAAAGCGAGCTCCTGTTCACACTTGAGGCAGAGACCCAGAGACATCAAGTGATTTTCCTGAGGCCACACAGTGGTCAGAGATGAGACCAAGAGCCTTTCTTTTCTACTCCAAGTGGAGGCTGTTAGAGGAGCTGGGGCCCCAGTCTGTGTGAGCTGTTGCTTCTTGCAAAGACCCACAGGAAGAGGACCCGCTGAGAAGCCCCAGCAAGTGTGGATTGGGAGCAGAGGTCGTGGGAGGAGAGAAATTGGCCCAGCTTTGCATCCTATCACAAGGAGACTGAAGGGCTGTGGCTACGTGTGTCACAAGGACCAGGAGGCCCTGAACTGGCCGACATGACTCTCCCGTGCTTCCCGCCTTCGCCGACTTCCACCTCTGGCCCGGAGCCGAGGAACAGGCGGGGCTCTGTAGTGGGATTGTGTCCTGTGGCCAGGCAGCTGGGAGGGGGCCACCCGAGGGACAGGAAATAGCTGGATTTGGGGAAGTCGCATGGCCAGCCAAGCCAAGCGAGCCCACGACCGCCTGGGCAGCCCTCAGCGAGGCTGATCAATGCCCCGTTTCAGGCTCACACAGGGGTCCTTTGACAGGGCTGCGATGGTTTGGACCCACTGAGAGCGTCTGTTTGAGCTTCATGCTTGGAAGGGAGCCGGCCCCAGGATGGAGGGGGCCTGGGCAGGTGAGGGCAGCCTGGACTGGCTGTCTCTTGGAGGGAAAAAAGAGCTGGTAAAATTAAACCTGGGGTGCTAAGCGGGGCAACCTCAGGTTTTTCGGGGGCTGTGATGGTAGCAAGAAGGGTCCCTGCAATTGAGCGGGCCCTTCAGTGTGCTGGCTCCATGGACCTCCCTGCGGCCTCACGCGGCAGGTGCTGGGTGGGGCTCATTCCTGAGGTTCAGGGAGGGGACTGCATCTGCCCAGAGTCACGCGCCAGCCAAGGGGCAGAGCTGGGTTTGGACTTCAGTCCACCCAATTGGACCTGAGCTTGTCCCTCTGGACCTTTCTGGGTAACCTCGCCCTTGCTCTGGGTCTTTCCACCTCACAAGGCCCTCATTCAATCCCTCTGCCAGGCTGTGAGCCCTCTTGGGAGGGCTCGGAAATAAGGGGGAGGCCTCGGGGGCAGCAGGGAGATTGTGGCTGTTGCAGGCCCCGGGATGGTGGTGCCCAGCTCTGAGCAGAGGACATGGAACGGGGGATGGAAAAGGATGCACTGAGTTTGGTTGGTGCTGGATTCGTGCTACCTTAGGGGACGAACTCCTAGGTGCTTAGGAGGCAGCTGGGTCTGTAGGTCTGGAGTTCAGGAGAGCGAGGAGGCAGGGAGGGAGGGAAGTTGAGTTGTGAGTGCTACTTGCGGACATGTGGGTGGGATGACAGGTTTAGGCGGGTGTCACCCAGGTTCTCAGAGGTGTTAACCCATCAGCAGGATGTGCTGCTGTGCCATGACCACCCCGGACAGGTCCACAGATGAAAGCACACGCCTCCTCACCCTGAATGCCAGCTTGGTTGACCGTGCGTAGAGCCTGAGGCCAAGCACATGGGAGGTTTCATGAACCACATGTGGCACCTTGGATCACAGGGACTGTGGCCTGAACGGGGTCTGGGCAGGAGGAGGAGCCCAGCTGCACTGCAGGCTCCTGGGTGGGAGAATAAGGATGGCCACTTTTCGGATGAGGAACCTGCCCTGTGCCTGAGGCCACCCCACGTTCCTGTGTCTCTGCCTGAATTTTGGGAAGACCAGAGATTCACGTCCCATCTGATACTCTGGCAACGTCTCCAATTCGCTGTGAAGCCGTTTAAGGGTGAAGAAAAGCAGTTCCAGGTTAAAGGAAGTCAGGAGCAGGACCCACCTGGGGTTCTCCTTGGCTCTTCGGGTGGCAGCACAGCCCCTGCGGAGGGCTCAAGAAGCAGTCACTGTGTGTATCCACAGCCACAGGCCTTGCCCACTGCCTGCTAGGACGGGTTCTCAGGGAACCCGTGCTCACATTCCAGCCTGTCTGCTGGGTCTCCAGGGGGAAGCCACCCCAATTAGCCACCAAAAGCGCTCTGATGGTCTGTGGGCACGGTGGGGAGCTGCTGGCATGAGGGAGCCGCGGTTCTAAATGCATAAACAGCATCCTCCTGGGACACAATGTTGCTGCCATGTCAGTGGCCCAGATGGTAGAACAGGACACTCGCCTGCCACTTCCTCTGCTCCACGTACTGTGGGGACATGCCAGGCTGGAAAACAGCAGGGCCAAGGCCTGGGGATGTGGCCAGGTAGCCTGAGAAAAGGACTTGGGTGCAGGTAGCTTATTTGGGAAGTGATCCCAGGAAATACAGTGAGGGGGAGTGAGGTGGGGACAGGATAAAAGCTCATAAAATGTGCATTAATAAGCAGGTCACCTCTGTGGGCAACCAGGCTCACTCCTGCTGGGGACCTTCTGAGGAACAGTGAGGAGCAGGTCTCAGAGAACTGTCTGGTGGGGGATGGGGGCTTTGGGGTCTTCTGATCCCTCCAGGCTGCATGTTATCCCTGGGGATGGTAAAACCCCGGGCTACCTGGCCCCCTGCCCGAGTCCCTGGGAACTGCCTGCTGCAGCTGTGGGTGAGCTGAACCCATGGTGGGCTGAAGGGCCATGGGTCAGGGCATTAACTGGGCCAGCTTGAGTTCCCAGTGCTAAACCTGGGCCCACTCCTCCAAATGCTCATTTCTTCTTCCAGTGTGATTGACCGTAGGCGCATTCCTCATGGGAAGCTCTCAGGCACTCCTGGGGTGAGGGCTAAAACTCTGGCCCCGAGAAGGCCTGTAGCAGGGATGCAACTTGTATTTTTAACAACCAGGTGAGTAGCGTGGGTGGCCAGGTGTAGATGTCCTTTGAGTTTCCTTCAGAGCCTGAGCTTCAGGGTTTGACATTTCCCCACAAATAAAATGGGCCACCATGTATTGACGGCCCAAAGTCTGCTAGGGTGTTGGTGGGAGGGCTGGAGTCTATCTGGGAGGCTCTGAGGACTGGGGAGGAGTGACTCACTCTGTGCTAGAGAAGAGAGGGAGATGGCGGGAGACAAGGAGAGGGAGAGAAAGAGAAAGAGTGACAATGGCCTGGCAGGGGGAAGGAAGCTGGGTGGAGAGCTTTAAATGCCAGCTAAGTCTGAATTTCCATCTAGAGGTGATACCGGGCTAATAAAGGCTCCCCCTCCTCCCGTCCCAGGGAATGGTGACAGAGTGACAGAAACTGTCACAGTAACTAAATGCCCATATCCTGCCCCTGGGCATCCAGGTAGAGTCAGGTGATGTGTACTTGTCTGAGGCAGTTAAGAGAGATGCTTGCTGTCTCTTGTCCACATGGCCAGAGACAAGGACTTGGAAATGGTGGAGGCTGCTTTGGAGAGGGCCTATGTGGGGTCACCTGCCTGGCACTGGACGGTGCCATGAGAGAGAAGCAAACCCTGTATTAAGCCACGGTGATGTGGGGGCGTGTTTGTTATGGCAACGTAGCCTATCCTAGCCTGACTGATGTAAGAAGGTGTTGTAAAAACAATAAGCATTGGCTGGTCGTGATGGCTCGCACCAGTAATCCCAGCACTTTGGGAGGTCGAGGTGGGCGGATCACTTGAGCTCAGGAGTTCGAGACCAGCCTGGGCAACATGGTGAAACCCTGTCTCTACCAAAAATATAAAAAATCGGCTGGGCACGGTGGTGAACACCTGTGGACCCAGCTACTCAGGAGGCTGAGGTGGGAAGATCACCAGAAGCCAGGGGGTCAAGGCTGTAGTGAGCCATGATTGTGCCCCTGCACTCCAGCCTGGGTGACAGAGTGAGATCCCATCTTAAAAAAAAAAAAAGAAAAAACTAAAACAAAAAACCCAATAAACATTGATGTAGCATTCACTGCATCTCTTCCTTACAACTTTCCTGTGACATTAGCATTAGGGTTCTGGCGCTACAGACACGAAACACAGGCAGAAAAAGGAGGGATTTACCGGAAGTCACCACCGCTGGCCTGTGACAGACGGGGACTCAAGCCCAGCTCTCTCTGATTCTAAAGCTGTTCACATCACAAGATTCCTCAATGTCTGGTGTGCATGCCACTGGCAGAAAACAAGAAAATTTTCGGTGATATGCGTATGAAAAAGCTAAATTTAATTAGTTTTGAATTTATTTGAATTTTATATGGAACCAATCTCTATTGGAATAAACAAACAGTACATCAAACCAGTGATTTCATGGCTATTATTTCTTAGAAGGCAGATAAATTTTTGGTTTTTTTTTTTTGAGACGAAGTCTTGCTCTGTTGCCAGGCTGGAGTGCAGTGGCGCGATCTTGGCTCACTGTAACTTCTACCTCCTGGGTTCAAGTGATTCCCCTGCAGCAGCCTCCAGAGTAGCTGGGACTACAGGTGCGTGCCACCACACCTGGCTAATTTTTTTTATATTTTAGTAGAGACAGGGTTTCACCATCTTGGCCAGGCAAGTCTCGATCTCTTGACCTTGTGATCTGCCCGCCTCGGCCTCCCAAAGTGCTGGGATTACAGGTGTGAGCCACCGCGCCGGGCCCCAGAGAAATTTTTAAGAAGTGAGTTGGTTTGGAGTGACTTAAACAAAAAGATTAAATAAATACTACTAAAGGCGTGTGTGGATACAGCCAAACTGTGATGGTGGTGGGCGCAGAATGAAGGGGGCGGGCTGCCCCGGCTGACGCTGCATCTACGTTAGCTAGGTTATTGCGAGATAACCATGTTTGCTCTTTAGGGGAAGAGGTCCTGGGAGCACTGGAGAGGGAGTCCTGTGTGCTTTCCACTGAACCACACTGCCCGGAGGCCTCTCCGTGGATCACAAACTCTCTCTCACATTAAACACTAACGGCTTTAAGTTTCTGGACGCCCGAGGGGTGTGAAAACAGGGCGAGGGAACAGCAAAGCCCTTCACAGCTGCCTGTCCGGCTTGCGAGCAACCTCGTAGAAGTCCCGCTCATGTATTTTTTTCTTCTGGCTCATACCAGACACACTGTTCTCAATTTTGAGTCTTGGGGAAAAATGTTTCACATTTTAAAAACACAAATATTGATTTTCTTTCCTTAATGTATACGTTGCGCCTCCAGGTCTCCTCTCCGCCGCCACCCCCGGGCCTTGCCCTGCTATAGAACGCCAAAGCTGCCCTTTTTTTTTTTTTGGTGGTTGGGGGACCCATCTCTGTTCCTGAAAACTTACCTGTAGTGTATTTCTGCAGCTCTGCTAATGAGCAGAGAAGCGACACAGAGAAGGCGTCTGTGTTCCTCCGAGGAGCCCACAGAACTGCCATTGAGAGGTGGAGCTGAAAGGGCTGTTTCACGGGCCAGCTGCTGTCCAGCTAATGGAGCCTTGTGCCCTGAGCCCCGGACACAGCCCCGGGCATCAGGGTGGTGGGGGGCGGGGGGTACAGTTGGCCAGGAGACCCCAGCTCACATTCTCCTCGTTCACCTCCAGCATGCCACAAGGACAGCACTGTGCCTCTCTCACCGCTGGTCACCATTGATGGCCCTTCTGTGACCCTGGTGGTTTACAGGGAAGTGGAACTGGTTCGTAGTTAGTTTTTTTCATTCATTCCTTCATTTGCTCACCAGATATCCTGTGCCAGGCACCACGCTGGGTCCCGGGGATTCAGTGACTGAGACAGGGAAGCCCCCTGCTCGGAGGGAGCGCACGTCCTCTGGGGGAGACGGGGAGACAGGTCACACCTTTACGACACCATTTTTGGAAGGGAGAGGCACCGCCATTGCTGCATCCGCCGTGCAGCATCTCTGGAGGAGAATTAGACTTCAAAGTTGTAGGGGACAAAGGAATCAGCAGCTTCAAGTGGTTTTTGGAATTGGGGAGGGCTGTGAATTAGGCACACATGAAATGTACAAGGAAAAAAGTCAGAAGGAAATGCTCTTAACCCCTTCCTTCTCTGACACTGGTGCAGAGGGGAATGAGGCCTGAGCTTCAGGCTTGGCTCTGCCTCTACACTAGCTGGATGGCTTCGGGTAAGTCAGTGAACCTCTCTGGGCCTCAGTTTCTCCATCTGACATGGGCCAACAGACTCAGATCTGCTGACCTCACAGGTTTATTGGGAAAGCAAAGGAGATAGAGCACTAGTGTGAGTAACTGTGCCATGTCAAGGGTGGAAGGCATCGTTGTCATTAGTGCTGAGGAGTGTGGTAGCCGCGAGTCGGGTCTGCTGTGCCTGGCAATCACTTTTTGTCTGTACATTTCCTTTGACTGAGGTAGAATTTACACCGAGTGAAGTGCATAGGTCCAAAGTCTTAGGATTCTGCCCCCGGAGCCGTGACAATCCTTCAACCCATCTCCCCTTCTGTCCTCCTATTGCCCCTCACATGGTCCCAGTGAGGCAGGCAGACCAAGAGCTACCATTCCCACTGCACCACAGCAAGCTGAGGCTCAGAGAGGTTAAGTCACCAGCTCCAGGTCACACAGCCAGTTAGGAGCAGAAGTGGCTTCGAACCTGGATCTCTCAGGTAGCCAAGCCCATGCTCTTTCTGCTCTATCTTATGAACTACTGGACCCTAATGGAATGAAAGGGGTCGTTCCTGGTTATGCCTCTTTATTTAAAAGGTTTATCTTGGCCTTCTCTGCACTGGGCCTGATGCAGAGATGAATCCACTGGTTCACAGGTGAGGTGGGCCAAGCAGGGATGCACACGGGGAGGAGGTGCGCATGGAGAACGCACCTCCATCAGGCTACACCGAGACAGCGGCGTGGCTGAGAGCACGGGCCTGGAGCTCTGTACTGGCAATAACACTTCTTAGCTGTGTGACTTCAGACAAGTTACTTCACCTCTCTGTTCTTTAGTTCCTCTGGGAAATGGAGGTCATAACAGTAGCTGCTTTACAAAGTTGTCATGAGGATTAACTGAGAAACCTCATCTAACTCCTTTGCTCCTTGACTGAACCCCAGGAAGTAGGCGCGGTCACCATGCCTGGTTTCCAGATGAGGAATCTGAGACATGAGAGGTGAAGTCACTTGCCCATAGTCACACAGGTAGTTTGCTGGCACAGCAGACTCAGGTAATGTGGCTCTAGAAATTCTGGGCTCTTAGCCATGGTTTCTACTGCCCTGCCCATGCTGAGTGAAGGTACGTTAGCCCTCACTATGACCTTGGAAGATTCTGCAAGGCAGAGAGTCAGCGAGGGGTAAGGACTCTGGGCAGATGGCCCTGCATGTGTGATGGCCTGGAGGCCTCTGAGGAGAATCCAGCTGGGGAGCAGGGTGCGCGTGGAGAGCAGGGCACAATGAAGCCGGGGCAGGGGCAGTGCATTTCATGAGAAACTTGGGGTTGTGGGTGGGGGAAGGATTTGGGTGTGGGATGACGGTGCAGGGCTGGGCCCTTGGACTCAGGTATGCCTGGGCTTGGGGTGGAGCTTCAAGGCAGTGCTGGCTCCAGCCCCTGGAGGAGCCACCCCCTCCACCCACCTGAGATTTCCCAAATTCCAGCTGCGGCTCTGGTTGCTTCTACAGGCAAAGGAGGCCTTGTGGTCGGAGGGGCCTCTGGAGCCCGGGCCAGGCGTTCCCGCCCTCTCAGGGCACACACACCTCCATTCAGCCTGAGCCCCGCCCCTGGGGGGCTGGGGGCCAGGGCGGGCTGCCCCCACGTCAGTCATCAGTTGGGGGCCGCCTGACCCGGAGGCTGGGCGGGCAGCGGGGTTGATAAGACCTGGACCCCACTGGCCCCCACCACTGTGCCGGCTGCTGTCCGTGCTGCCAGAACCATGAGGGGCCTCTCTGGTCCCAGCCTCGTGCTCTGCGGCCTGCTGCTGCTGCTCCAGGCTCCGTGCAGCCCCGGCCTTGCCCCCCAGTCCAGAGGTGAGGGGGCCTGTGTGAGATGGGGACACTGAGCGAGTGCGCCCTGACCATCAGCACTGTGGGCTGGGTACTGAGATGGCAGGGAGCAAATGGGATCCAGGATGGGGAGGGGAGCAGGGCGGCAGCTTGGGCAGCGGGCTGATGCCGGAGCAGACGGGGCTGGTGGTGCTGATAAGGGGTGGGGCAGGGGTGCTCCTCAGCCCTCAGGGACCATGCACGTGGCAGGGACTGTGGTCTTCCAGGGCTCTGGGGAGCAGAAGATATTCAGAGAGCTGGCTGGCCTCTGGAGCTGCACCAAGCCCAGGGCGGAGTCCATGGCTCTTTGATGAGAGCAGACCTGGGATGCCAAGAGCTCATGCCCCCTTTGTGGGTCCTTCCAGCCTTGGGCTCCCTCGGGGCAGCACCACCCTCCAGAGTTTCAGGTTTGGGCACTGAGTCCTGGAATGCTCATTCTTCCTGTACAGATGGGGAAACTGAGGCCAGAGAGGGCCTAAGACCACACAGTGAGATAGCCCCAGAGCCTCTAGGCTCCTATCTACTGCTGTGTGGTGTGGCCAATTCCCTTTCCTTCTTTGGGTCTCAGTTTCCTCATTTGTAGCCTTAGCTAGTAGAGAGCAGGGAACCAGTTGCAGCATGGTTTCTAAGGTCTCCTAAGGAACTCTGATGCCCAGAGTCCCAGTCCAGCGCACTGTGAGATTCCACAACTTGGGGGTTGGGACGGCCCTGCCCTTTCCTCCTTTGGATCAGCTCTGCTCAGTGCAAACTTAGCACGGGATGGGGAGGGAAGGGTTTTTGCCGTGAGCCCCTCCTGACTGCAGGCCCAGGCCAGTGACTGTCATGCAGTAGCTTTATTCTTTCCACTGGACATGTGAGATCACGGAGGCTCAGAAAGGTGCAGTGATCTGCCCAGGGCCCCGCAGAGTGGCTGAGCTAGGATCTGAGCCTGGGCCTGAACTCACTTCCACCCTGCATACCTCCCAGCACATGGCACTGCCTTCTTGGGTCTCTGGGGGACACTGCTCCTTGGGGGCATGTCTTGGGGTGCACCTGATCAGGCTGCCGAGGTGGCCACCAGGATTTCCTGCTCCCTGGCCCTGTCTTTGGCAACCCGCCAGCAGGCGCTGCCAGGCTGAGGAAACTGGTTCCAGTTTGGTGATTCACTTCGATGCTCACATGAAAGAGGCCATGTTGACGGGGCACTACTTTGGCTCTCAAGGTTGTGCCCATGCCCAGAGGGCCCTTCCTTGGTGCCCTCCTGCCCAGCCAGGAGAAATAGCTGCCCTTGTTTCTGGCAGCAAGTCTGGGCTGAAACCTAAGCGTGTTTTCAAGGCTGCAGGGTCCTCTGCCACTCCTGGGTACTCACTGAGTGCCTGGC